GGAGAGCTGTTGTATTGTGGAAAATTGCAGTCAATGTCATGAGACAAAGTGTATTTGAACTGCTGGATGGAATATGAATTTGCTCTGTAAACTTTCACCCAAATTACAATAAAAATTTAAAAAAAGAAAAGAAAAAAATTGCCATAGTTCCTGTCCTGAAAGAGCTAATTGTCTAGTGGGAGCATGACAGTATGTCTCTGTGAAAAAGATCTAAGGCATTTCTGTTGCATTCCCTAGAATGATATACTACAACTCTATAAATCCAGTGTCCTAAAGCTTAACCTTGATATACCCTTCTCAGGCTTTTTAAACCCTCCTAGTAATTTGTTCACACATCAAACAAGATCAAAGTGTCATAGTATGTAAGTATTGTCATTTGATTTCCAGAAAGCTGAGTCATTTAGAAAAACATTAAATATCATGAGAATCATATGGCAAAAATATTTTATCAGACAAATCTGAAACCTGAGCTTCATTTTTTATGTTAATTATATCTAAGAACTGAGTAGCCTATGAAGCATTTAACAGGTTCTTGATTATGCAATGCTGAGGAACAATACAATGCCTTCTGAAAACTAAAATGAAATTTTTTAAATTCAGATTTCAAGAGTAGTTTTCCTGCTAGAGCTGCTTACCAAGTTGCTGCTTTGCCCAAGGTAAGTACACTTTAGAAGAACAAATGGAAGCCATTTTGATTTCTACATGAACTAAGCACTATGGAAAGAAAGTTTTAAAACGAAATTTTTGCTTCTTTCCAGGAGCATAAAGTCTGAAATGAAATACCTAACATTACATGCATTGGGAAAAAATTAAAGGTATACATTTATAAGGCAACACACATGGAGCTAACAGAATCAGAGCATTTAAAATGTATGGAAATATAAAATAGCAGCTGTATGGTAGTAGTGTTACTTAGGGACTATAAATCTGAGCCAGACTTGTGAGGTCTGCGGTAAAAAAAATTATTTGGCTATCGTGTAATAAGACATCCAGCCCTTCCATTAGAAAAATAATCTGTAAACCAATGGCATACGTATTTCTCACCATCCTTTGTTTTTGGTGTTTTGGAAGCTCTTTTCTTGTGCCTCTTAGCAGCACAATATTCCCACCTACAAAGCAGCAGCTCTGACTGACTTGCATTTACCATTTTCCACTGAAGAAAACTTATATTCTAAGGGTGGCATTTTTATTCCTTTAATTGGTGTTATTTGGAGTGATCGATATCATCAGATTTATTAGGGTAGAGTAGAAAGAGCTCTCAGCTTGGCATCATAAGACATTGATTTGAATCTCTTGTCATTTAGCTTTGTTACCTGGGATGAGTGCATTAACCTTTCTAAGTTTCAGTGTTTAGGAACCCTGGTAGCACAGTGGTTAAGTGCCCAGCTACTAACCAAAAGGTTG